AATATTTTACCATTATTAATTAATACATTTGAAACAGAACATCGCAACTTCTTCACACTCCAGAAAAATAAATGTTCTTTCCATCACACGCGTGGGCATTTGGGACTGTTTATCTTGAGTGCCAGCCAACTGTTAGATTTATCCCCGTATGACAGACTACGGTCATACTTTATATTAGTACACTAATTATGGATGAACTTTATGTAATTAGTACGAGGTTGAATTCTCATTGATAATTTTATTTGGCTTTACTTATAGGATGGATAGATATTTGTCACTCTTCCACATAAAAAGTAATCAATGAATTTGAATGAAATTTTGACTATAATTTTGAATATAAGACGCTTACGCAATCAAAGGCACAGATTTTATAATAATTGTGTGTGAATATTAAAATAAATAAAGAAAAATTTATGCCCTTTTATTTTAAAATGACGATGAAGCGGTTAATTGGTAATTATTAGAAGTTACATTTTTTTACAGACCAAAAATGTTTTTGTAATAACGCCATAGACATAATGCTATTTTGAACGTACACTAAGAAAAATATGATTTAATTTGTCATATGTTTCTTTTGATTTTATATAACTTTATAAATAAATAGAGAGGGACAGGAGAATGAATATAGTAGAAAAAAAAAAAACAAAAACTGTGAAATAATATTACTTTATCAACGCTAATATAATTAATTAATGTTAGAACAGTATTGTAGTATTATATACCTGCTTAAATGTTGCAAAGCAATTCGACACAGCTGTCAAGACTAATAATACGTAACTTCCATTATTAATATCTTTAAAATGTTAAAAGGAAAGCTTTGACCGATCTGTGAATGAAGAGCAAAAATTAATGGCTTTAGAAATTGGTACGTTTGCAAATAACTTCCGTACATTTATCTAGCCCGTACGAGTGGATCAGTATCCACGAAGAAGTTTCATAGGAATTTAACAGAAATGGAAGAGAACGACGTGTTGATACAGTGTAAAAACGAATACTAGTTACATGCTAGTGGATATTATATCACAGGTATAATGTATATACTAGGTTAAACTTTTAATATTATTGATAAAATGAAATTGTAGTTGAACAATGTCTATACCATGAAGATATTTAAGAGAAATTAATATGAGAGATCATAAAATAACTAATGGATGTTAAAATAATAATGTTTAGAAATTTTATCTGTCTGTATGTTTGTTCCGGTATCACGCGAAAACTACCGCGTCAAATCGGATACGGTATTCACAGTTGTATTCTTGAAGGTCTAATTTAAAATCTGGTGCATGTTTTATCTTTATACTCCGTATAAAAGTGATCTATTTAATTGATTTTCCTATTTCAGAAATCCACGCATCCGAAGTAAGTATAATCTAAATATAAAGAACACATTTAACGGTAAAAAACAGCAAAAAGTTAATTAGAACGATTTAAGATAGATATTGATTTAGCACATAGAGGGTTGGGTTAGTGGTTTACGACTTTTTTATGTTTAATAAAAAGTAAAACTTTAATGATTTTTATTAACTTATTAAAATAAAAAATAAAACATGACACATAGGAGTCAGTATAGTATTTTTAACCAAAGATATCAGTTTTTACATTCACAAGTATATTGACCAGTAGGAAAATTTAAATATAATATATTTATTTATTGACCATATTACAAAAAAAAAATGTCTGATACAAAAGGCGGACTTAATACTATATAGCAATATACTCGCAAGTATTGTCTAGTAAAGATGAATTATAGAGCAGTTTGTTATGAACAATTTGAGAACTGCGCGCCGCTGGTAATGCGATGACCCATTTATATCGAAGACTGCGTTACTGCAATTTTGAGAGTTTCCAATAATAGATAGATGTACATTGGATAGATGGAAACCCGATGTTGGATCTTAGTGTTAACTGGGGTATTTATTTCATCATTTCTCCATTAATATGCGTTGAAAATTTTTTTTAATACAGGGGGCAAACGAGCATGGGGCTCACTTTATGATAAACAGTTACAGTTATTAGTTAGTAATAGAAACCGTTAATACTCGTATCAGATTAATTAAATGTGTATAGCCGGCCTTTTAGGAAGAAATATTCGAGGAATAATTTTGTCTTGAAGGTTTTAATGTTGTATAATGTGTATAGGTTAGAAATTACTGCTGCTAGATGTTGTCTCCAAAGCGTGGTTGTGTATGGAATAAACTGCCTTGAAAAACGCACGGTGAATAAGTAAGTAATAAATGAATGCATATTAAGAATTTTATGGTAATAAGAATTAGGATTACTGGAATTATTTATTCTAATGACAATACTAACAACAAACTTCGTATTATTCTGGAAAAACACTTCATGCAAAATTCAAAAACTTAACGTTTCACTTTATACTTCATACCACGACTGTAGACTTTGATGGAATAATTAGAGGCATTTTTTACATCATTTACTATATTATATATATTTAGAGTCAGCGTGATATGTCTTTCTCTTCCGTTCTTCTCTATTCGCAGTCATTTCCGCATTCACTTCAATTCTGATTCCATATCACCTTTCACACAGTTCTTCCATGTCTTCTAAAGTCTTGTTCTGCTCTTATATACATCAACATTCATACCTAATAGCATTCTTAAAGCATGCTTTTCGTCCTTGCTAATCACATGCCCATACCAGGACAGGCGTTTATTCCTTAACTTTTCTATCACTGACATTGCTTTCATACTTCCTTTCTACTTTACTTTTTTCTTTTACTCTTTTACACGATAATTAACGTAGTAATTGATCATTAGCGTCTTTTGCATGAAAATTAAAAAAATTCTAATATAAAAAGAAATTAATCGTTTTTAAGCAAATTTACAGGGAGGTTCTTATTTTACCTGTATGTTTGTCAATTCTGAATCGATTTCTTTTTTTTACTATTAATAGTAAACTATGGATTCCGTGTTGTTTCCATATTAATTTTGTTATGATTTATATTATGCATTATTTACTTTTCACTTATCACAATACATTTTTACTAATAAATTATGAAAGCAATGGCTGTTTCTTCTATACAAATGCAATGAATAATAACTCCCCTCTCCCCTATGTTAGTTACTGAAGTGTTTTGCCTTTTTATTTTGCACTGATTTTTTAATTTGAAAGACAGTGGCATAACACTTCATTACTTAAAATAGGTTTGTGTCTTAGTTTTTATGATTAAGGATTACAGATATATAATGTCCTTTCATTGCATCTATCGATATTAGCATTTAAATTGGATAACATAAAACGAGTACATAATTATATTCTTATTTATAATTTATAGGTATTATAAGTACTTATAAATTTGTTTCATTACAAATTGCCAAATATTTTTTTTTTATACTTGGACGTGGACGTCACACGTTGTACTGGTTGGTATACGTACAATTGCAACACGCGTGCTGTGCGAAAGAAGGAATTGATGTTACGGAACGAATGTAACATTTAACCAGATATTAGTCTTAATTGCTACCAAAGAGTCGGTTATCGGTATTTTCTTTAACTATAAAAAGGTAAATAGATCATCATTGTTGTAAATATAATCAGAAGATAATTTATTGCTTTTTTTTTTCGTTTTAAATTTTCAATCATACCGCCAACAAAAATTTCTGCTTGCTTTATGATAGATAGCAAGGGTGGATAAAATATAGTAATATTGTAGTTACAATATCTATACATATATTGACCCCATAACAGATATATTAGATATCGGTTATCCAATATATAATGTCGGAAAGAAGAACCCACTCGTAATAAATATAGATATTAGACTGTATTGTCGATATCGCAATGGGTGGCCATCAATGTTTAGAAGAGCTTAATATATTATAGATACCGAATATTACACATCTTTAATAGACAGGTAGATAACACTTGCTTTGTGATTAGATATTATATCCGCTATATATACTATAGATTTTGCTAATACTAATTTGCGGAAATTTATAATAATAATAAATTTGTTTATTATCAATTACATTTTACAACTACATTACAATCATTATAAGATTAGTTGGAAGATGATATAATTACATTACAGAATATATGATTTTTATTTTTATCTAAGCACTATAACTAGATATCTAATCTAAATTTAAATATATATATAAAAATATATACGAAGCACTTCATTCTAACTTGTTGCTTTCGTAAAACCGGCTTAGTATTTTAATTTAATTTATATTTGTAAATCACCGTGTCTTGGTAATCTCATATGGACTCCCGCGATACAGGTTCGCCTAGTGCGAGGTCCAATGTACGTAAATTTCTTGTATTTAATAAATAAATAAAATATATATATATATATATATATATATATATATATATATATATATATATATATATATATATTAACAGTGTTAAACATTATACACATAAATAAATTATATTGTAATATAAATAATTAACTGTGGAGATTTTTGTTTTTCTTCTCAAAATTTCAAGATTTTAGCTATATATACTTGTTAACAAGCAGCAATCTTACATATTGTACCATTGTACTTCAGTTTATAAGATTTTTAGTGGAAAAACACTGAAAGATCCCTCTCCTTATCATCATGCTATTTGTTTACAATTGGTATGAGGAGATGTTTTTTTTTATACTACTAATATAGCAAAGAAGCATACGGTTCACCTGATGGTAAGCGGTTACCGTAGCCTAAGAACTTTAACAATACTAGGAGCATTACGCGCGCGTTGCCGATCCTAAAGAAACATTTTTACCCATGACAAACTCCATGCTGTGGTTTCCTGGGGAAACCTTGACAGAGAGCTTATTCTATAACCTGAGCATTTGTAAGGTGAGGACTTAGGAGAGATTTTGCCTCACTCTACGTGTTCTACTGCTTGTACAATGGACTGTACTCAGAGGAATCATTCTTGGGGAATCGCGTAGAGGTCATCCCCCTCTACTATATTTGAAAAGTTAGTAAACAAGATATACATATAAAAGGTATAACGCCTTTTTCCTTATCAGTGTTATTCTTTAAAAGATAGTTTAAGTGTTAATATATAAATTTCACAATAGATTTACACATAATTTTTTTACATCTGACGAGCGTTATATGACTACGGAAGTCTAAGTGATAGGTACCACTAATTTCCATCAGGTAGACCTCCTTATCTTTTATATTATGGTGGAGTCAACCTTCCATTTCACCTATTAATTTTTTTTTTTATTTATTTCCTTATTAATTTTATAAACTGGCTTTTCCCTGCGACTTTGTCCATGTGACCGTGATATGTACACTGATCAGGATAAAAAATAGCATATGTCTTTATCCATCCCATATAGTACCAGTATACCAAAAACAGTAAGTAATTAGTTAAGTCATTAAGGTACCAAGAGGTAACAAACTCACTTTCACATTTATACTCGTAATAGTAATAAGGACGTGTGATATGGTGACACGGTGTGGATGTGTGGTGGTGATGGTAGAAGCTGGTAGGATCATAATTATATAAATAATACAGTCCTAAATATAGACAGGTAACGTAGAGTGATATCACGAAATTTTCTTATCAAACCGATAAATGATGTACGATAAATGATGATCCTATAAATTAGTGTCTAGGTTTATTTAATACTGGCTTTTACCTGCAACTTCGTCTGTGTGACCGGTATATGTTTACTGACCTAGATAAAAAGTAACCTATATCCATCTTCATTCCATATATGTTTACCGGCGCTATAAGGTAACAAATAAACAAACTCACTTTCACATTTATAATATAACTAAGGATGAAGTTGCGATCAATGTTGTTTGTTTACGTGTTATTAGCAATATTAACTTAAGCAACGCCATATTTGTTTTATTTACATAGCATACAATTGCGCACGCTCCCCTCTACTTTACGTTCTTGGAGACCGACTTAGCTGGAACTTAGTATAACACCACCACCACTTCAGCTGCCTGCTCGGGGCTACATCTCATCGATAAACGAATCGAAAGATGCATATCGAATTATTCTTAGTGTCAATTGTGCTACATTATACAACAGCCGAATACTACAAGACGAAACGTGAGTATTTTTAGTCTTTTAAATTATCGAGAGCATATTTTTTTTAAGATAAACACGCGGCATACCGTTGCCGGCTTCTGCAGAAACGATTTCGCAATCAGGTTATTGATGTTATATAAATTGATTGTTTGTAACGATTATATCATGGGGTTACGTTACATAGAAGTGCAGTGACCCTTTATCGTCAGAAAAGTCACAGTTGATAGGCAATTTAATGTGGGATTATTATGTAAAAGGTTAGATAAATAGTGCATGATTATGATCCAAGTAAATAGGGTTGTCGTTTATGAAATACTTGTGTAATTCTTTTCTCTCTTATAGGTTTTGTGATATTAATTTGTATAAATTTATATCACACAAAACTACCAAAACATATAAAAATACATAATATTTTATTATTACAGAAAGACTAAATTAAATAATGCCCACTAACACCTATTTATTTAAAATACTTAGACCCTAATAAGGCATATTTTCCTGTGGAGGGTATAATATTTGTAATAATAATACTGAACAAAATAATTGATATACATGTATTTATATCATTATGCACATTTTCCTATTAATTAGTAATAAAAGTACAAAATTATTTTAGTAGGGCTTACAGTTTTTATTTTTTCAATATCATTATTAATATATATTCAAAATTAGTAGATAATATATATATAAAATAAATGTATACATATATGTATATATATTACTGTAAGTAATATTCTAAAATTACTTTTTACACAGAATTATTACTATGTTTTATAAAGATAGATATATCTTGATAAAAATGTTTACAAGAATTCTTTTTTATTCAATAAGATTCAGTAGACACTAAATTATACATATAATAACAATTTTTAATAATTTTTGATGTATATCACAGATATAATAATTATTTTTATATTCTTATGAATACTTCATGAAGCTAGCAACGTAGGTAGTCAACTGTAGAGAAAAACATTGTGAGGTGATCAATGTCAAGTTCACCAAGATTACGCGTGTACCTAGTAATAGTAGGTGATATAAATATTCTGCATAGCGATTTATATATTTTTTGTTATTTATTTCTAATTTTCATTTAGAGACATATATTTTTTAAATTAATGGCATTAATTTCATGCACATAAATTTACATATTTTTATATTTACAAAAAAAATGTAGTTAATTAAATATAACCAGTAATGATGATGTAGATTGATGGTTATTAAATTTAATAGATTAATTAATAATTATAAAGATTTTCCCGTTGTTGCCGATAACCATAACTAGATTAAGATTTTTTTATAGCATTTTTAGTAACAGAAATTTATAATAATTCATGATGTCCCACAAAAAAAAAAACTTCAATAGAAACAAAACCAGTTATTTTGATTTAAAAACTAAATTACTGAACTGATTTTCATAAAATTTCCATGGAACCAATCTGTAACCAATCTGTAACTGTATCCTTTCAGATATAGAAAAGGTTTTTCAAATCGGTTTACAACCGACGAATTTGTAAGGTAACATACATAAAAATCAATACAAATGAATTAAGAACCTCCTTCTTTTTGAAGCCGGTTGAGAATATTAATCTATGGAATAAAATATATAAATAAAATAATTAAGTCGGATTTTCAACTTACAACTTTAAGTTAATAAAACTAATATGTACGGATTTTGTTGTTATAATTTTTTCTTTATATTTGTTTGATTTCTTTTCAGCCGATTTTATACAAACATGCCTGAAAAGTGATCCAGATTTCGATGAATGTTCACGTCAATCTGTCCAAAAGCTGTTTCATGCTTTGGGGCCAGGTAAATGCAAAATACTTTTTTTTTATTGCTTAGTAGGAACTTATAATACATACGGACGAATTAAGTAAAAATAATACATTCACTATGAAATATAAATTCACTATTTTTCGAAATTGGAATTGCACTCATGTGTATTTAATTTGGTACCTGGTATTACAAAGTAGGTTTGATTTATAAAATTGATCGACAGCCCTAGCGCTGCTGGCCCGTTCTGCTTGCTTTGTAAACGGCACAGTTGCAGAGTGCCTGGTTTCCTTGCGCAACGACCAACCAACACTCCTAGTCGGTGCAACTTGTAAACTCCTCGGCATTTCTGCGCTCCTACTATTATTCTCCAATTTGTACATAGTTTTCTTGGTTTTATTTTTCTGCTGTTGTGTTTTGTGAATGCATGTTGTGTCTCTATCTTCAAACATAAATGGGCAAATAAAAATTTTTTTTAACAACTTCGTTATGACCTAACTTTACGAGTTCAAGCTATGACTGTTGATAGGCACTAGATAAAATGATAGTGGGTTGGTAGGTTCATGAACCACCGGGCTAAGTAGTCATATCGTAGTCACCTCATTACGAAACATTTTGTAGGTACATAACTTGCGGAAAGCGAAAGCGCTATTTCTTCACCATACTCATGCGACGTGTCGTCTCGTTCGTTATCAAACATATCATATTTTAGGGTTATTCATACATATTTTTAATTATTATACTTGTTAAATAATTATAGGTATCATACAAGTATCGAAAAAATATTCAATTGATAACTTATATTTGCAATTTGAATAAAAGAAAAGGAAATTAAAAACTTGTCACCCTAAAATTTTATACCGCTCCTAATTTTTTAAATATTTTTTTCTAAATACCTTGGGTGCCTAACTATTTTTCTATTGATTTCTTTATTTTAATTTCATAAAGTTTTAACTTAAAAAAATAGTTATATGTTTTATATACATATGTTTTTGTTATTTTGCTGACACAGGATTTTTTTTCACGTGAATAAGTTTAATCAAAATCTGCCCATTAGTTTTGTTATGTAGAGATTTAGAGATAAACGAACAAAAAAATTAAAAATATCTAAACCAAATTATATAAGAAATATGAAACAAAATTCTGCAAGTTTAGAACGCTTTATTCATTAGTTCTTTTTTTATTCACAGGTCTTCCAGAAATTGATGTGCCTCCTCTAGATCCAATGAAAATTCCCAAAATAAGAATCCTGCAAGGCGATGGCCCTGTGAATGTAAATGCGGCGCTAGATGACGTCACTGTGACAGGTTTCGGTGAGACAGAAGTGCTCTTGAGCCAGTGAGTTTTTAATACTTAACGTTCATAGTCTCCTGGTCTTATTGTCGACTGTTTGATCGACTCAGTCGAGTAGTAATCGAGTCGACTCGATCTAGATAAAATATGATAAAAAATGGAATAATCAATGATGCATTTGGTGAATAGATAGAATACGGTTCAATTTTATTTAAATATTAATGGATTCTAACTAAATGAAAAAAGGGCTCTAAAGGACATAATGTAAAAAGAATTTAATTTATAAAATATATGATCTCTTTCAATGTTTCTCCTGGTTATCAGTTTATAGTCTGTATTATTTTACAGGGTAGATAGTAAAACATACGATTTCTATACTAGAGTTCGCGTCCCGAAAATTCGAATAGAAGGGACGTATGACTTAAAGGGAAAGATTTTATTAATACCATTGGTCGGTCGTGGTCGTTGCTGGTTTGAACCAAGTAAGTCCAATTTTAATAAATTATTATATGGTATAATCAACGATCAAATGATCGTTCATTCCATGCCCGGAAAAAACAATTTTTCCGGGCATGGAATGAAGTCGCTCTTCTATGTTATGCAGGGTATTTATTGATATTTTAATATATATTTATCATTCGTTTTTTATAATAATGCATATTTAATTAATTACAGAAAACATGACAATTGATATTGTCAGTGACGTAAAACTATATGAAAAAGACGACTTTGTTTTCTTCAACGTGACTAGTGCTCATGTAAAATATACCATAGGTGGACTCACTTTACGTATGAATAATTTGTTCGATGGAATTAATTCTCTAGGTATGTATTATTCATGAAATATCAATTCATATTTTTAAAATTTATAGTTTAAACAATGATGTTATTATAAATAATATCATGATGTTAAAATTGTAATTTGGTTTATTTTTTATTAAGTTGGTAATCTGTGCTTGTTGTACTTAGCGCCATCTGTATTCAGTTGGAAAATATAATACTTTACGACATCTAGTGTCGAATAGGAAAATGAACTATCTACATCGAAAGATGGCGTTGTAGTTGGATTCAAATAACTTGTTTAGATTTATTATATCCTAGTACTTACGTGTTGTAAATTGCAACGTTGAGACGCTGTTAGACTTGTGGTGGTTAAACGTCCGAAAGCAACGTGACACAAATTATATTTTCCATTGTCGTGTTATGGAATTTCTGTTATATGATTTATTGTATGGGAGAAAAATTTATAATTAGAATACCTATAATTTATTCTAGTTTTAAACTCTTAAACTAAGAACGTAGGCCTACCTATTTTAGGTTAACACACAGTAGGTATTAATACTTTTATTATTTTAAAGGGAATGTTATCATTAATTGCATATTTAAGATTATTTTTTAATGAGGGTGAGAAGGAGGTTAGTCACTTAAAAAAGGCACATACTCAGGCATATTTTTGCGTCAAAAGCTTCGCTCAGTATAATAACCCTTCAGCTCTTTTGTACAATAAGTTTTTATTTCTTTCAGAGGACAGTACTAACGCATATTTGAATGCAAATTGGCGGCCAGTGTCAGAATCGTTGCGACCTATACTATCCAAGACCATAGAAGACATTTTACTTGGTTTTTTGCAACAGTTATTCCATAATCTGCCTGGAAATTTTATGATTGGTGATATAAAGTATAATCCAAGTAAAAAAGTCGATAAAAAAGTTTGAATGCTCTCTATTAGTATTAGTAATTTAAAAATGTTTTAGATTGTAAGCTGATTCAGTGCCTGGGTACTTATTAATTTGTTTTGTATCAAAGGTCAATTGATTCGGAATACGATGAGAGGTGTACCTACTCGTACTACTAATGATATCTTACTATTTTGAGTATTGGTCAGTAAACCAATTGTGATGTGTGATAATAAAAATAAGATAGATTATGCCTTATACTTAATATTTTACTTATTTTAAAGATTTAATTGGAATTGGAAATCTAGCTTTATTGTTATGATAGAATATAGCAAGGTTGCTACACTTAATTTATCTTTAAATTACGATTAAAGTACATAAAATAAAGTTTATTGTTATTTAACCTAAAAATATTAGTATAATTTTAGGTGATTTAATATACTATATAAAGGCTGATCCATTCTATGCGTTATAGTACCGGCATTGAATGGGCCACACCTTCCTTTCCCGTGGGTGGTGACTAAGAGAACTTAATGGTCGAGGAATGGAGTATTCATTTTAAAACATCACTGAAGCCTAACTGCGGTTGCCAACTTGTCGGTCAAGCGTGGCAAGAACTGGCACAACCCTCATTATGGGGGAGGCCTATGTTTAGCAGTGGATAGTTAATGGCTAATATGGTATGGTTTGGTATTTATATAATTCAAATTATTAATGGGAACTCCAATAATTAGTATTATTATAGTTTCCAATAATATTACAGTATTTAAGAGGTTCATAGAGCTTAAAAGCTGACAGTATTAGAGTCGTATTGATTTTTAATTTATTTAAACTTAATTTATAAATTATAATACTAATACCATAATAGTAACTGAAACAAATTATATCCTAGCGGTTGAGATAGATTAAGTGAGTAATTCTGTAATTTTACATACAATTTTAGTCGTAATAAGTGTTAAAAACACAAACCAATGATATTTATAAAACTCAACAATTTTCCCCGAAATAATCTCGAAAGTATTTAAAAATATTTTTTTTTTTGCAAATTTTATACAAATCCAAAATTATCGACTTAGTACGAAAGGTTTAAAAAATATTTTAATATTTCGACTGAGCTTCTCGGAAAAGTTTGTTCAATTTCATGAATATTATCTTGTTTTTGGCTTAGTACCCATTACAACTAACTCTGTATATTATTATATGTATTAAGAAATTATAGCTAATTTGAAGCTATGCCAAAACATAATTTTTACGAACAATGGACGTCGTTTACGCACCTGGTGTATACCTGGTAGGTGTTTCATGTTTCAGGGCCGGCAATATTACTAATCGCCGTAAAATCTCTCTCATTATAGCACGAGGGAACTTTAGTGAGGTTAAACTAAATTTATAAATTATCAAATTATTTTATCCAGGTACATATACCATATTTCGTTTGGATTTTAAAAATATAGTGTGCTTACAGGTATGTATTGGTTCTAGGCATAATAATAGATAGGTATCATTAGAATGAAATATATTTCAAACAACAATCCTAAAGACTCAACGAGATGAATATCAAATAAACACATATGTAAAATATCTAAACAAGAAAATTGGAACAAATATAAATTTACATTCATTTATGAGGTATTTATTTATATTTTTCATAGTGATTTATAATTAATATATGAATTTGACTACTTATTTTTTTTAAAATATAGTCTTACCTGCCAAATAGGACGTCCAGGCATTTTAAAAGATTAGGAATTCCAAAACACACTGCACTAAACACTAATCACAATTGCACGTGTTTCACGGGCTTGTCAATAGATGGCTCTCTCACCAAAGTTGAGAACTAAATAACCGGCTCTCGGTTGTATAACGTGTTTTATACGGTGCCAAATCGTTGTAGAGGCAAATAGCGCGAACAGATACGAAGCAGAAATTTGAAATGATCGACAAAAATATCCCCATACGCAGTTTCATTTTATTTATTAAGAACAATAAAGTTGTTTATCAATTTTTATATTGATATAGTATAAAAATTATTCTGGTAAAATTATTAAAAATGTTTGAAAATTAAAGCGAAACATTTTTAAATTAGGACATCAAACATAAGTGCATTAACCGTTGCAGTTAAAGGAACATATTTTGGAAAACGCTTGAATTTTGGAAATATTTTGATATACGTTTAAAGATTTTGGAAATACGTGTACATTAAGAAATATTTTCTTAACGTTAATTCATCTAATTTAAATAAATATACCTATATTCTTAATGTACACACTGTAAGCTTACAGATCTTATTTTCATAAGGATCAAAAATCTATAAGATAAATGGAGATTAAAGCACATAGAAATATCAGAAATCACTAAAAAGTTTTCCCGTACAATATTTTGAATTATTTTTAATTTCAAGAGAAGCGCTTGATTACAAACTAAATTTGAATGGAGATTATTACAAAGTTATGTAGATATATTGAAAGTCGTTTCTGTAATTTTTAAATACTACAGGAATTTAAATATCATCAAAACCCTAATATTTTTTTTCAATGGGTGATTATGATATGGAAACCCCATCTGCGCTATCGGTATACACTGATGGGACACCAGTGAGGGATGACTCGTGAAGATGAAAAGCTGGGTCAGTTAGCCCATCGTGACGAATTTAATTATAAATTAATCAAGATGGTTTCCAGGGGGAACTGCGTGGAGGTCGACCTGATAAGGTATATGGATAGTCATGGGGACTAACCTCCCCATTACTAACAATCCTTTCCTCCCATCCTAATAATGTATCTTATATACACCTGTGGTCAGTATTATAATTTTGTATCAATATTTATTAATTAAATAGATAAATAAAACAAATGACTACTCACTAGTTCAGTTGTAGATATGTAACTACTCGATACATCTATTATTATTAAAAGCTAAGCCCAGGTTCTTTATTTTTTCATAAAAGACCCTTAGATGTTTCGATATATTGTTTTTATTGTTACATATTTAACCTAAATTCTAAATCTGTTACATTATTTGGGTCGAGTAAACAAAGTCATGCAAGTTCCTGTGATAAAACACATGCCGTTCGATGTTGCTTTAAATAATATTTGCCTTCGTGATTGTGGCTGGAAATGGATATTCATAATATCGTAATGATTATAAATGCATTCTAATGGAAGCCTGCATCATAATTTATTCATCACTGCTACTTTTTGCTGCAATCCTTGTCCAGCAAGTTCCTGGTCATTGCATGAAGAGTACGATAATAATCATTAACAAAGTACTGAATATCTAAATATACTCGTACTGTATGTTTAACAGAGATTAAAATAATATAATTCATATAAAAATATTAATTAAAAAAAATTATGAATAATGCTTTTCTTAAAATAACGAATTATAACAAGTAATTAATGAGCAAAATTTTAATGAGAATGCGAATTTAAAAATTAAAAATTAGAAATAATAGTTTTCTTCATGAATACGAGTACATTTAAACCAAACAATAGTAACAAATATCTGACTATAAAGATTATTATTTTATTGAAGAATATAATTAAAAAGAGAAGATGAGATACAACACCTTGTAAATATTTTATTTACGTGTCGCCACACAAAGAAGGTCATTTCGGTGATTGACCGAAAGATGAGCATTGACCCAGAGAAGGGTGCTAAAGGGGATAGGGCCCCTTTGGTGTCGCTTACAAAAGGAACGGACACTAAGGCAGCATGAATGCAAGGAGGTTTAACAACATATATGCACTTTGCACCGAATGAATGTGACGTCATCCTACACTGCATTGTTTGCCACTGCACTTTTAATGATTACTTTTCAACAATATGATAAAGTCTATCAGACTTAGATTTATGTGTTTCACTAAAACTGTTGACTATCTTCTCAGTACAACATGAATTTAAACATCTTATTATTTTTAAGAAATGTCTTTTATTAATTTATTTACAAAAGCTGGAAAATTCGTTGAAGTTTAATTGCATTTAAATACTCAGTTAAACTAAACATGCATTGTAGACTTACATACATACAAATACATTAGTCCACAAGTATTGTGTAATAAGTAGTTCTATATCAAGCATAAAATAATAATAAAAAAAAAACAATTTTTCTCATTGGAGAAAAAAATATTTCTATTTATCTTATCGAACTTTTTAATGCCTAATTTTACAATGAATTGAGAATCATTCAACATTTTTTCCACAAAATATAAAAGATAAAATTGTTAGTGTTTAAATTAAAAATAGACACGTTTATGAATCATACTTGAATGTTTTATTTTGTTATGTTACTTTTTCTGACGTCTATAGGTACATCCTACTTAACACCCACCCTGTCATAAAAATAGAAGCTTTTTGTATCCCAGAATGTTCCTTACTCAATATACTGAAATAGGTCGTACTTCTTGAGCGGTTCAAGGTGATGCGTGGTAACAGGAATAGATTATGAGTAAACCGCTCAAAATAACGACACCCTACAGTCATCACGTCTTGACGTTCGTGGAATGTGGGTAGCTCACCGTTTGTTTGTCATCACCTCTGAAGTAAACCAATTACTGACTAATCACGAAGCTTCAGGAATATGAAGTCTACAAACCTCGGGTTTGGAGGGAAGAGATTGTTAATAATAAGGATTTAACAACTTCATTGTCAATAAAATGCCCTCTATCAAGTCGACCTCCACGATTCTCCTTGGAAACCTTGGTTGGACAAGAATTAACTATCTTGGTTAATTCTTGTGCAATTCGTTACATCTGGATAACTGACCTGCTTTTATCCTCATCTACCATGTCTCACGCTGGTGCTCCACCAGCATATACCGATAACACAGATAGGGTAACTATTCCATTATCGTTAATTAAAAAAGAAAACTTGAGGTTTTATAAGCTTAAATACCATGTATACACTAAGAAAGCTTTTTAGCAATCCACAAAAGAAGTTAAAGGATTTCACGGTTTTATTCTTTGCTTGAAAGCTATTTACTTAATGTGTAATAGAAAGTTGAAACTACTAAAATTATTTTAGAAATTCGTTAAAATTGTAATCTATATATAAAAAAAATTATTATCATTCTGCAGCTTAAAAATAATCAGGCCTTAGTAATTTACAAAAAAAAAAAGAACACAGTCAAAATTAATTTTGTAGACAGACTACTTTAAAAAAAGTGGTTTTCAATTAGCATTTTTATGTATCAGTATTGACATGCTACGAGTATGTGCATAAAATAATTTGTATGTATAATATATACTCATGCCATAAAATTTCAACGAAAAAATTGTCCAACAAATTTAAATTTTTTCAATAAATTGATTTGATATCAATGCGATTAGATAATAATACCCAAAGTACATTTATTACTAATAGTAAAATATATTTAAGAATAAAATAATTAAATAGTAATAGTTAGTCGAAATAAAAAAGTTTTATATATATAGTTAATATTTTTCTATTTAGTCCCCTGAGATATGTGGTAGATGAATCTTTATATTTATTATAGATACGTTTTCGCTATCGCGTGTATGAGTGAAAATGAAACAAATATCTGAGGTATTCTTTTTCATATAAATACAATAAGCAAAAAGTATTTATTGTTTTGTTAATTGTGTAGCGGGCTGGTTGTTTTCTTTACAACAAATAAATCTACTTTTGTATTTATAGATAGCATAGAGGTTAGTACCTCTAGATTATCTAGAGACGAAAATTATAATAAAAGAAATAGATCATCTTTTATTTTCAACAGAATTAATGAAGAAAGAAAAGGTATTTATAATTACTTGAAATTCTCATGAGTTATCCTCAAGAAAAGAAAAGAAAATATAATATTTTCGCTAATATAAATAAAATTAAGAAATAGGTCATTAGTTTTTAAATTATTAATGATTACTGCCAGCAGCTATTTGTTAATAATTTCTTAACTCTTGACATACGTCCAATGTCTACAATTCGAAATATTAAAAGTTTATTTAACTTTCTAATAATCTTAAGCAAGTAAAATGCTTGTCAATATTTTAAGATACAAGTTTATTTAATTTTGTCGTGTTTTGTTTCTCTCTCTTTCTTTTTCTATTATATATGTAATAAAACTATTTCTATAAATAACGAAATCGAACCGTCTTACTAAAAAAGATAACTTATAATACTTGTAGACAGGTGTTCAAAAAATTGTCATGTTTAGCGTTTATGTCTAAACAAATGTAAGTCTGTCATTTTAAATAGAAATTTAATGATTATTAGATTAAATAATTTTTATTTTTAACATTTATAATTTTGCTAGCTTTTATCCTAAATTTCTTCCGCGTGACCTTTGAACCTTTTCTGAACCCAATAGATTAACATTTTTGCACAAATGCATTTAACATCATGCATGCGGATTTATACAAAACGTTTTTCAGTTTGAAAACTTATGTGCCTAACACTGTAGATATGCCAGATTGTTTATAGGTTACAATAATTATTTCATTTATTTATTTATTTTATTTCATTTTATTATCACATGAGTTGTATGCTGGTTTTGTCTTCTTAATATTATCGTATTTTAAAAGTATTTTAGATATTGTAAACAAAGTAACAATGATTTGAAAATTTATAACAAAACTATCTATATAAACATAGATACAGCGGTATAGTCATAATACAGAAATATAATAAAGGAAAAAATTAAAGAATGTAGTAGTGATTAGAAAATTGAATGTTTGTTTGTTTGGATGTTTGTTACTCATCATCATAGTGCAACTCATATATAGCTTACTGCTGAACGTAGTTCTCTGTTATATTTCGTCACAAAGTACGGTCCTCTGAGTAGAGACTATTTATTAAAATACTTATCAAAAATATTATTACTACTCGTATTCTATTATTAACCTATGGGGTCCCACAGCTGAGCAAAGCTCCCCCGCCGGTATTTTTCCAAAAGTTCCTGTTCTGCGCCACCTTAAACCAGTTTCTTTTAAATGCTTTTAGGTAATCACGCCATTCCTTCCGAGGCCGGCCTTAGCGACGTTGTCCATAAATAGGCACCTACTGGATGGAAATCTTAGTACACCCTTATGGCTAATATGAACCCCTGAATTTTACATAAGTTTGGCAAACTTCTGACTTACATTTCCATTGTCAGATTGGTAGCGAAGTATGCAGTTGGATTTATGATCTTTTGCCTTTCTAGACGTTTTGATCCAGTGATTTATGTACCTCTCTTCGCTGTTTTTGAATAAAATTAATAGTCCCAGATATGTATTTGCCCATCTACCATGACTATGTTTCGTACTATTTGTCATCTGGACCTCAAATCTGTTCATTACCAATTAAACTTTAAGGCTTGTCCCACTTAGTTCTTGGAGCGTTTGCTCGTTCTTTGGCTGTAGAGGCAAAATAAACGATATTATCGACTTCGGAGGTTTGCTTCAACTAAACAAGAAAACAATAATTAATTGTTTTCTTGAACTGAAGTGACATTCAATTTGACACAAAAAATTATATTCCTGAAATCCATGTTAAAATGTAGTTAGTAGAGATTTTAAATTATTTCTAATATATTAGGCATAAAAAAAAATATTTATAGGGTTAAAAATAGTATCTACTGCAAACATTCCTTACGGCGAGCAAAGTGCGCTGAGAGCGATAAAAGAAAAAGTTTGGAACGCTTGGAACGTGGGCGTTCGCCATTGGAGAATCTGGAGCAGGCAGTTACGATCGCCAAGTACTAGGACAACATAAAGTCAAACATCACTAACAGAAATATGGCCCGGTAAAATGTGCCCTCTAGTGTCGAATGGAATCAACATAATAAATGTATTGCTTTGTTCAAGGCCACTGTTATTTAATTTTCCAATAGATGTCACTAGCGTTTCGACCTATTATTATTTCAAAGTTAATGGCCTATTGTTAATTTTTGTATAAACTTCTATAAATAGAGTGTTAGTAGTAGTAGATATTGTGATGAAGACTAAACAAAAACCGGTATATATATCTTTTTTATATTTGTATTGCGCGTAATGTGTGAATAATGTTTTATTATTAGACATTTTTATTTAGATTCCGATTCTGAATCAGATTATAAAATAAAGATTATGTTTTTATTTATGTTTAAAATTTATTTTAATATAAAAATAAATTTATAACAAGAACATATAATTTCGAACTGCAATTAAAGTAGGGTTTCCAGTCTTTAATGATATCTATAGGTACAGGTTAATTTCGATTTCTCGAATCGATTGGAATCGTGGTCTCTGCTCGATTCATAAAAAAATTACTTGAAATTCCATCTATTAATTTTAATCGATATTAAGAAAGATCTTTCTTTTACCTTAATAGAAAGGTAAATCAATACGAAAATATATATTCGATACCTGTAGAGAAATGAAACGTACTTTTTTTTTTACTTTTATTAATTTTAGACAATCTTGTCATGAATGTTATAAGACAAGTGTTAGAGATATTTTTATATATCTAATTTGAAACCGACGACCTATAGACATGTATAATGCCGTGGACGTCACAGAATATACTAACTCATCATTGGTTCCAATTCCAAATTACTAATGTAAGTCTTCTTGACCGTGTGGTCCCGGCATAGAATAGGCCATCCCTTCCATTCCTGTGGGTGTCGTAAGAGACGAGTAAGGGAATTTTGCAGTGTTCCCTTTTAAAACATTTCCCCCTAAAAGTATGGGTTGGGTACTTCCGTCCCAATCTGTAGCTGTTTCAGTTAAGAGAATAATATAAAATTGAAATTACTAGAAGCTCATATTTCATGATTATCATCATTCCAGCAGTAAACTGTTCATTGCCGAACATAGGCTTTCCTCATAAGGGAGATGCTGTAAGTTGTTGGTACGCTAGGTGTCTACCTAACGTTGTAACTTTTGGTGAGGTTTCAAGTTTTTGTTGGTCGCCTCTTACAATACTTTCAGGAAAGGAAGGGGTAGCTCATTATATACCGGGACCACACGGTAACCACTATATATTACCAGTGTGAAATTTGTAGACAAATAAAACAAAATTTGTTAGTAATAATAATTTAACTGTTACTTTCGACAAATTGAATCGATCAAAATTAAACAAAAGAAGTAGTTGCTCATATAAATAACATCTAATAATAATAATAAAAACAAACTATTTACATAAATTGATAAATAAGATTTTAGCAAATATTTTCCTACGGTACTGTTACTATTTGGTATAATAATTATTGCACATAAGTTATTAACGTAAGCGAAAGTATAACTTTCTGTGTTATTTCGTCATAGTCGTAGAATACTGACGGATCTGAAAAATATTACATATAAAGATCCGTCAGTATTCTACGACTATGACGATTTTTTTAATAATATTGATAAATACATGTACATGAAAATTATTCTAACATTTACATTTTCTCTTAACATTACTTAAATTGCGATTTTAAATGAAGCTTATTGCTTGTAACACGTATTGTGACTATTTACAAAATAATTATTCTATTGAATAATTTTTCAGACCTAATATTTAAGTATAACGAAACTGATTATTCTGACGAATATTAGATACACAAATTTATTTACATTCGATAAATTACAGCAACCTTTGATGTTTAAAGTTATTTGCATTATTTTTGGCACCTTTTTCATAATATCTATTGATACAATAATTAAAATTATATTTAAATAATACAAATCGAGGCTATTACGTCTATAAAGAAAGCTTGGCTATTACTAAGCTGGCCACTGGCCAAAATCACCTGGTTTACACGATCATCATATGTTAACATCCTCCTTTTATAAATAAATACTCAAGCCCAGCTATGGGACATTAATAGGTGATGTGGATGGGCAATTAATATTTAATTAAACAAATAAAAATTTGTGTCTTTACCAGACACCAATTGACAAAGTTACACAAGATCATTATAATTATCATTGAAAGTTTGATCCAGAACATCACTATCAAAGCTAGTAGTAGTTTTCTTTTGATTACCATCGTCCTTTTGCGCGAGCAACCTATCACAAGCATTTAGTTTACCGTGCAAAACTTCGTACACTCTAGTCATCGATGCCACCTTCTCCTTGCACGAAGGATCAGTTTCTATCGCGAAAAGACGGGAATCCAGTAATTTTATGGCGGCTACTATGTAATTCCTTAAAGTCTTTGTTTTGTGTTCTGTGCTGATTCTATCTAGGAAAGCACACACTTGTCTCTCACCACATAAAAGAACGTCGACGTCGTATGCCAAAGGCGAATGCTGCTTGTGGAGGTACGCTATCAGTCGTTTTGCATACCGTCTGTATGTACGATATGCTTTTCGTTTTCTCGGTCCGAGAGTTCTTCCCATTGTCATAGATTTTTTCATATCATCAATAACAGCCTTATATCCAGCATCAATTTTGGAGTCGAAAATATCACGTAATCTAGTTTCAATTGGCTGTAGCTCGTATGGAGCTGGAGAAGGAGGTAGAGATGGCGACGACGGAGGTGGCGACGGTGGTAATGGATTACGTGTATTCTCCTCTTCACTCGATTCGCTTGAAACTCTGCATTCTGTAGAACTGGTCTCAGGAGCAGGATAGGGTCGTTGTCTTGTTCTTTGTCGTTGAACACGAGCAGGGCGTGGCGCTGTACGAGCATTGTAAGCTGTCAGGACATTAGCGTCTTGTTCTGTTAGTGGTCGAGCTCGCTGTGTTGCTGCTAGTGGTATTATTCGAATCTTTACAAGACTATAACTTTGATGTATCTTTGCTTTTATTCGGGGATCGTCGTAATCTGATCCCCAAAGGTCACGAATGGCAGATTCCTTGAGATATCGAACTTGACAGAGCTCTCCGTTAAAAAACCTCTTCCGCTGTTGTTCGTTGAGAGCATCACGTTCGGCTCCCGTTAGACCATGGATCTTAGTGAGATGGTCTGGAAGTTTACCATAAGTGAATCGTGCGCAGTTTTCTATTGGACACGGTATGTTGGCGTGATTTTGTTTTTTGGTGCGGGCGGCAGTAGCAGGCGGCCGCGTTGTCATTTTTATTTATGCCCTTTCTGAAACAACCAAACATACTTATGAGACTTCTATTATGTTACATTTATTTGAATATTATAGACTAAATGATTATAGTCATAGATTATTTAGTGATGTCCATGATGCGGTTCATGTACTTAGCTGGTGGTTATTACTTTCCATCAGTTAAGCCGTCAGCTTGTTTGACATTTTCTAATTTGCACAGAAAAGTCATTAAATGTTTATTTATATATCTTTCTTTAAGAAAACATAAAGTAAAATTTTGTCTTGAGAGATTGTTGTTGAAATTAGGTTGCGATTTTCTCTTTTCAGCTTTTCTTACACATTATTACATTGAGATATACAATTATACAAAAAAAAAAACTTCAACTGACAAAAAATTATTTAGGTGGTCTTGCAATTATTCAGCGACAAAGACTACATAATTAACTTAATTAATTATTAATTAATTATCTATAACAATACGTAATTAATGTTACATAAATGTTATGTAACATTAATTTGGTATTTAATTAATGTTTTGAATAAATACAAGTAACAATTAGTAAACTCAAGTATTTCGAATGTTTTTAGAGTCCAGTTAATTTATTTAGAGGGTGTTTATCGACACGGGGTGGCTGTCCGAGTATAATAATTGTGTTGACGGAGTCCGCCGGCTGTTTGCGGAGCGCCGGCCCTCTTGTCCTACGCTTAATTTATTGAAAACAATGCCTCCTCAGTAAATGTCGTTTCGTTAGGTATGATGTTTTGGTACTGAAGAAACAACTTACTTATATGGGTATCATGCCTTATCAAGTCCGTAACTAGCCCCATGTTTAAGGTTGGACAAAAGAACTTTTTGGTAGGGCAGAAGCCTTAATTCAGTGACTTCAAAAAAGGGAATCTGTCTAATTTTATGGGGCTGCCCCTCAATGCCCCCTCCTCCTTAATTATGGACATATGCCATATTTTGAAATATAAAATGTCATGAAATTTTACATAGGAGTTAAACATTGTACAGTATTTTAAAAAATAAGAACGATTATTGGAGAAATAGAATATAATTAATTTACTAATTAGTATATGGGCACAAAAATGTTTTTAGTATTTTTTTTTTATTTTTTTAGATAAACAGGTTCTTCTTTAAATTTTAGATTTTTAACATTATCAAATAATGTATTGGAATAAAAAATAAATATTCTGAAGTATTTTACTGAACTGGATGTTATCTTGCGGAAGCCTATGTCACTAGTTATTTGATTAGGATTATTGTGTTTAATTTCGCCACCAGCGTTGTGCGTTATTTATTGATTTGCAGTTTGGGCACCGTACGGTTAACACTAGGCTCCGAGCAGTGGTTTAACAATTTGTCTGAAAATGTTCCGTGAAACACGTGTCGCAAAACGTGAGTGAACATAATGGCAGTCGGAGATTGATGGCTGATATGGAAGATTGTGGAATTTATGGTAATAATAGTGATAATCAATCTTCGAGTGTTGACAATCACACACATACATATTAATGGTAGTGGAATTAAACAAAATAATTTTGATTAAATAACCGAAAATATTGTCAATATTATATCCGAAATGTTAACTAACTGTTACCCAACTACTACACCATCTACCACTTACTCCAATCCCTAGTCGACTACTTCGTACGCGTTGTTTAGTGGTACGTAGGAAAACAAATGAAACATAACATTTCTAGATCCCTATAGAAATGGTCTATTTTATTGCTGTTTGTTTACCTTTATGCGCCATCAAGCTAAAACATGAACCAGATTTTAAGCTGCATGAAAATCGTATCCAATTTAGTGCCGTAGTTTTTGCGTGATACCGGAACCAACATACAGGCAGACAGGTAAACGGCATTTGTTCATAAATATTATTGTTTTGGCATAATTATTATAAGGGGTTTTAATAACATCAATAGATATTGATGTTATTATAACCCCTTATATTAATTTTCCTTAAATATATCCATGTACAGATATCTTTTTTTTTTATACAACTTAGAATGACAAACAAGCTGACGGCCCACCTGATGGAAAATGGTAACCGTCGCCTATAGACATGAGCAGTAACATGGACATAAAATAGTATATTGTTTCGCCCATAATACCCCCCATGCGTTGCCATTCCTGAGGACTCAGGTGTTATTTCTCTGTACCCAGTAAATTCACGCCATATCCCACCCTTCAAACCGAAACACAGCCATGCAAACACAACTGCTTCACGGTAGAAACACGAATGGGACAGAGGTACCCAAGTAATAGACTTTTGTACAAAGTCTCCCTCTGGTCCAATTACATTTTTTTTTATATTAGTAAGATCTACTATTATTTTGTTATGTTTATTTTGTTACTTTGTTGTATTATTTTAGTTAGCATTACTTTAAAAAAAACATTTATAATTAATTGAATTAATGTTTTTCTAAATTAATTTATATTTATTGTTCCATTTCTTTTTAATTATTACTAGAACAATAAAATTTTGATGGATTCATTAAACTTTCGTAATGTAAAATGAAACAACAATGGCAAGTCAAGACCGCAGTCTGATTGAGCTAATATTTATTTTGGAAATTAGCTAGTATCGCCGCCAGTATTCTCTCTGCCCGTCTTGCAATAAATAATCTAAATTGAACCATCCCATGGGGCTCAGAGGCCATTGTTTAATATTCTTTAATTTATAATTTTGATTAGCTTTCTTCTATCTGTATTATAATAAAATAGATTCGATAAAATATAAAATTTCAATAATGATTTACATTTTCAATTATGAAGTGAAAATGTCAGATTTTTATATTTGACCGATTTTAAAAATCTTTTACCTGTAGAAAGTAGGAATGGGTAATATTACGCATATATCTATATATATCAATATCTATGTATTTTAGTTAAAATATATATGTATTAGTCCAATTACGAATATGTTAAATGTCTGTTATCCAAAAAATTTTATTGTATAATAGACTTACCTATAACCCATTTCCGTATCCGGGCGATATTAAAATGGTTGATGACCTTTTTTTTTGCCGTCAATATCCAGTGGAATCTAATATTTAGATATCTGATCCATATTATTCATGCTTAGTAAAAAGCTAGTTATTTATTATCAGCGAGTACATAGACTATTTTATTAAAAATAAAAACCGAAGAAGCCAGAGCGATTCACAGGTAATAAATATGAACTAAAAGAGTTACAAGTTTTCAAAGTTTTTTTCTGTGTATTTGTATTTATTCATAACTTCTTATATAACTGTCTGCATGCAATTTTATTCTGATTGATAAGACAGGCGGGTCGCGTATCGAGAAAGTTGTCATAAAGAACCCTTTTCGAGTACAACCAGTAGAAGTGGAACGTGAATAAATAACTAATTTGCATATTTAATACCAGGTATCGCGATTCAATTGCGGGTTCCGTGAATTATTAATCCAATACCGAGGTTAGCTTATTACCCTCTGGCTTACACAATTAAATATTCAGATCAGATATTCTTAATTAGCTGAGTATAAAGTGGTGGCTTTATTAATACAAAGGCTGTTTTACTTGTCCAAATAATAATTTTGATACGGTTTATCTCATTACTGTGATTGGTTGTTGTATCTATGTTCTATGTTTCATTATATTTTTATTTATTTGTTTATTATTATTATTATTTTTGCTGTCGTCGTTCGTGATGTCACGCGTGGTCACCATAGAATATCAGCGCTGTATCAATTAATTCGCTGCAACACATGCTGAGTGGCGGCCACGTTGTCAATAATAAATGTAAAGTTTGTTTTCTATTCATAATTTTTTTTATACCACTAAGGTGGCAACGCACGCGTAATGCCTCTGGTATTGCAGGTGTTCATAGGTTACGGTAACCACTTACCATCAGGTGGGCCGTATGCTTGTTTGCCACCTCAGTGGTATAAAAAAAAACTTACTTTTACATTTATAACTTTAGTAAGGCTAATATACATAATAGATTAAGATCTATTTAATATCGCTGACTGTACGAAAGAGCAAAAGGAATCTAAAAATGTCGATTAACCCTCAAACGCGCGAGGTGTTCGGGAGCAACCACCCCATGCACCGGGCGCATCCGTAAACACAGGGTAAACAAGGGAAGCGCGTAAACAAGGGTGCACTCGATATTGCAACCTGGAAAACGTATTTAATAAATGGTGTTCACGTTTTATTACGTCGTATTGTAAGACGTAATTTATATGTGAATTTTTATATTAGCAGAATGATGACATGTATGTGTGTATGTAGAACGAAGATTTTATTTATAAGTATGCATTGATATATAAAAAAGGTATATAAAAATGCATCGATTAAAATTAATATTTTATCTATATACGAACAATATTCCTTTATTTGTGAATAATATTTGTAGATAATGCAATATTATCCCATTAATATAATGGGATAATATTGCATTATAATGGGTTCTTCAAAAGGGGGGTAAAGAGGTTTCTTCAGAGTCGGCAACGCGCGCGTAATACCTCTGGTATTGCAGGTGTTCATAGGCTACGGTAACCACTTACCATCAGGTGGGTCGTATGCTTGTTTGCCACCTCAGTGGTATAAAAACAAAAATCAAGTTTGGTATAGGATACTTTATGTCTTCTATGTGTTAAGTTAGGATTAATCTACTAGTATACATAGTCTACGAATAAATAAATAAAGAAATATAATATTTTAAAGATTGTAAAGTTGTTTATATATTTGGATATTTGTAATCCAAAAACGTCTATTTTACACGGCTAAATAGATTTATATATACAAGATAAATATGATACAAGGATAGATCAAATTTTAGGCTAACATAGTGTAATATGTTTATCTTAGTTGATGTGGGAAAAGTCATGTCTATTAAGAAGGCATTAAATATCAGCTTTTTGTATTACATTTAGTTCCGTAAAAACAATATTTTTTTGTCGCCATAAAATGAACTTGAAATTAGTATGAAAGTAAATTTCACAGGTTGCAAAAATAACACATTAGTGACTCTCCTGATAGAATCGTCAGTGTTCATGGGCTGCCATATTTAATCATTAACTTTATGGTAAACGGCATGCTTATTTTAGTTTTTTAGCTGATTTAGCGAAGTTATTGTGATACATAAACAAATAAATGATCGAATTGAGAATCTTCTCCTTCTGGAAATTGTTTAAAAACTCTATCTTGCTAAACTAATTCCAGTAGGTATATCATTCGACATCCTGGAATCTTTGTATCAGCAAAACATTCATTAATGCATTTTATTATTAAATATGTTTCATAAACTTTTTAAATATTTCAAATTACGAGGAAAAATGATTAAGTTTCATGAATTTTAGACTGAGGGATTAATATTTTTGTTACAGTCTGTATAAACATATATACGAGTATACAAATAAACAATTTGTATTTTTTTTACATACAGTAACAACATGTTTATTTAACATATATTGTTATTGTCTATGGGAATATCGGAAATGTATTTGTTCGTTTATGAATGTGTATTTCTTTTTGTTTTTTATTTGTTACTAGCTTTTATCCACGACTTCATCCGCGTGACCAGAATATGTTTAATGACCGGGATAAAAGTAACTTATATTGTAGAGATAGAAATGACAATGGACATTTTAATTAAAACTGTTATTTTGATGTTAAATAAAAAAATTATAAGATTAAATAAATTGATAACTCATTTATATAAAAAAATAAGTAAATTATGTATACACTATTTTGATTGGGGTAATTTTTATTGACCACGATAAAAAGTAGCTTATTTCCTCCTCTATTAGTTATTAAAAAATTCATGACTATTGGTAAAGTCGTTAAAACACCAAGAGATAAAAATATAAACTCACTTTTATATTTAAAATATTGATGTATGGATTAACAACATTTTATGCAAATTAAAAAATATAAATATGATATAATTTTATCAAACTATAGTTAATAAATAAAAAAGGTAATATATAAAAATCATAGTAAAATAAAAACGCATATTTACTGTGACAAATTTTTAAATTATATATTTACTTTTTATAGTTTTTATTCTTATACTTATTATAAATACTGTAAAAATAACGACGAAAGAATAATTATGTATCACATAATCGCTTTGTGAATTGCATAAGTACTGTATAATATACAACAAAAGAAGAAAAGATGTTTAAGTAATAATAATTTTCAAATAAAATATTTACTTTATAAAGACTGAGTAAAAAAAAAATTACGTTTAGATCATGAGTGAAGTAAAGTAAGCAAGCAAGTAAGAACATTATAAAGAAAAGTAAAAATAATTATAATAAATTTACACATAATTGCTATAAAGAAATAAGCTTTTATATATACTACAATATATAGTAGCTATTAATATAGAAAACAAAAAATATAAATAAGTATAAAATGTAAAAATACAACTTACCCCAAACTTCTCAGAAGAAACCGCGTGTTGTTTACGAGAATAAACACGTTGTTGTTGTTGTTTATCTTAACCCTGAAACTGCCACTGTGTACGTGCGACCCCCGACACTGTCGTCACTCTACTGACGTTACGTAACCCGCATCCTGGCAATCCTGTACCCAACCCTCAAACGTCTATGCATTTTCTTACATCACCAGTTTTGATAGAGCTCTCCTGCCTCTCTTTGCTGTATTGAAAACGAACTGATTACATGAAAACTACGTACAGTGTAGGGTTCTTATTAAATTGGTATATATTCGAATACCTTGATCCTCGCTTCGGAAGGGATCGGAAAACTTCGGATTTTATAAAACCCCGCCTATGCGTAGTCGGGTCTACGCTGTAGACGTAACAGCGTAGCAATTTTTAATATCGGGCATGAATATATTAGTGAAAGTAAATTTTTCTGAAAATGTTTAATTTAACAGTTATTTTATAATTTTTCAATAATTTAATGGATATTAATCTAAAAAATACATACATATTTTAAACGTAATTTAATTGTTTAAGCATTGATAGGATTTTGTATATGAATTATAAAATTTTTATTAAATAGATTTTTTTAATTCGTTGTAAAATATTTATAAATACGACAAAACTATCTATATTATTTCGTAAGAAAAATAATTATAGTCATTTATTTATTTAATTCTTAAGTATTAAGTGTGTTCGGAAGTTAAGTAAAAAAAATTTGTTTTACCACAAGCTTACAGCCCGAATACGTGTAGTATTATATATATTTATTGCATCAGCCGTCAACTGTCCACTGCTATACATAGGCCTATATTTAAAGATGGAATTTTGTTATTTTATATATTACAGATTTCAAAATACTCAACAAAATAACACGATTATAATTTTCGTGAATCAGTGGGCACTTTTTAGTCATATAAATCATATTTAATTTTTATTTCATATTTCATGTGCATTTATTTACATTCCACAATAGATGTCTAGTGGCATATTATTATTATAGTAGCTATGTTGGACACACAGCAAGTAACAGTCAACGAGGTGGTTTAATATTTTTTTTATAAAACAGGATTTTTTAAATTTTTATGCAAACATTAAATATTATACAAATAGGCTAAAATGTGTAAAATCAATGTTAGATATATAAAATATAAATAAGTTATTAATGGTAGTTAAGTAACAAACTACATATTAGTGTAGTAATATAAATATTTCATTACAAACCTATATACAAAATATCCCTAAGTTATGAATGATTTTGTATGTCAGCATTAAACAGGACACGCCCACCGGGTGCAAATGGGCGTAGTTTATATGGCATACGCCCACCGCCTTCTCCATTGCTTGAGGCTATATTGTACGTTGTCACTTATTATACTCCTAATTTTGAAATACCACGACTCGAAGAAGGAGATTCGAAAAATTCCACAACCGTATTCGGTCGTTTAACACGGCCGATATGGCGATTCGCATATTGATCGCACCAACTTTTCAGACGATTGATTAAATACGCAGTGGGGATACAATAGCATATAGGCTGGCATAGCTCTATATACTTACTATTAATACCTTACTAATGTAATAAAATTGTAATTAGATGATGTCTGTACATCATCATATCAGCCGTTAACAGCCCACTGCTGAAGGTAGGCCTCCTCCATAAGGAACGTTTTGCAGTTATAGTTACCACACTTGGCGGGCAAGTTGGCAAACTCAGTTAGGCTCTTGGTGATGATTTAAGAGGGACACTGCTACCCATCCCTCGATCATTAAGTTCTCTCAGTCGCTTTTATGACACCCATGGGAAAGGAAAGGGTGGCCAGTTCTATGCAGGGACCACACGGCGGGATTACATGCAATAAATACTGCATCAAATTGAATACGGTTTTCACTATTGTATTCTTGAGGGCATAACTTAAAATCTAGTATAATTTTTATCCTGATATGTTATATTACATGAAGTGGTGATATATTCGCGAAATTACTGCGTAGGAAGTTGCGGCTAAAAACTAGTACAGAAAACGCTGTCCGCATCTGTCCGTTTCGCTGCTTACTTCTTTGAATACGCAGCGGATTTAGATTACACTGTTATTTTGATATGTTTTTAATGGAAGATTTGTATGTATAATTTGCAGCTGCCTGAAGTCGGCACAGATTTTTGTTTTCATATAAAATTTCACATAATTATGTGGGTGGTTTTCATATAAAATTAATTTCGATTATCCAGTGTGGACTGATGATTATTTTTGTGCGAATTGTAAAAAAAATGGTACTTAATTCCTTTTTATTTTTCTTGTCGCAATTATATCGCGAAGTCTGTTCTGATATATTTATAATTGTTATTGTTATGGATTTCTTCTTGATCACTTGATATCGGTTGAGGATTAGTCAGTTATAAGTTATTATAATTATATTTAATAATATCAGTACGGACAGAATAAAGTCTATATATATATCAGATCGTTGCTCGGAGTCTAGTGTTATTAATTTGTCTGAGGATGCCCCGTATAGAGGTGAAACAGGTAATGTAACACGTGCGTAGACTGAATAACGGTCAGATGTATAACTTCTACTAATAATAATAGTTGTCAATCTTCATATGTTGACTGTCACACGCATACTACATCACACCCATACTAATCATAGCGGAATTAAACAAAATAATTCAATTCAACAAACAATGCTTATGCTGCTGCAAATTAATACCTATTTCAGCAAAATTACATATCCATTAAAGTATGTAAACATACAAACCTAATAGATATCTATTTTTTTTAAAAGACACAAATGTTTTAAATAAAGATTGTGTTCCGCTATAACAATAGTCTTTAATTGTGGTAAAACCAGTTATTTTGATTAGAAAACTAAATCACTGAATAGGATTCTATAAAATTTCTATGGTGGTACCATCTGTATGTATATCATTTCAGATTAAAAAAGAATTTTCCAAATCGATTAAGCATCGAGTTATGAAGCAATAAACATTAAAAAATTAAATCGTTTTGAGAACCTCCTTTATTTTGATATCGGTTGATAAAAGAGAATTGAAATTATTTTACATATAGATTACATAAAAAATATCGACAAAAGTCTATTATATGAATATATGTATTATTTCTTTTATATTTATAGGCGATGGTTGTAACTCTGTATTTTGTTTGACAGTCTATATTGTACAAAAAAGAAATGATCAGCACTTAAACAACAAATCTGAACCCCGTTTTAGTGATTTTTTTCTAAACTTGAATATATTATTTGGAAATTCAATATTAAGTATGTAATTTAGTAAGTAAAATAAAATATTGTCATATACTTCTATAAAATAAAATCCTTTCATCCATCATTATGAGTAAGATTTTTTTTTATATGCAAATGATGCTTGTTTTCGTCTGAAGTTTAAGCTAGGTGACTGTACTATCATTAATCAGCCAATAATATGCAGATCCTTTTTAAAAACACCGCCGTTCCTTCTAGGCGAGATCAAAATATGACACGTAAGAATAGAAGAGATATGCCAATAAAAAAATGAGTGCATTTAAACTTACTGGTATATTTTAAACGTATGGTCAAAATTCTGAAATTTCGCAATTTGATTAATACTCAAGATATTTTTTGACTAGAGGTGGTTTCTCTACTCGTAAAATTATAAATAACTATATTTTATTTTATTTATTGCATTTATGCAAAATGAATGAATGAAAACTCTTTATTGTGCCCTTCATAGAATGATACAGATTTTAAATATTATCAATATGTACACAAATAAATTGCATAATTAATTACATAAACTTAATTACTTTTATGTAAGATAAAAAAAACAACATAACGGCCTTATCACTAAATAGTGATCTCTCTCAAAATTGTAAAATGTGGAATTAGGTCTCGTGTTGTTTATTTTACGATACGACTCGTATCTTCGTTTTATTTGACAAAAAGATAATAATTTGTAATAGTCGTGTGATATTTTCATAAACTTATGAAAGTAGTTCTATTTTACTTTTCACCTGTCAGATGAAATTAGAATAAATGTGTATTGAATGGGCTGCTTCGTTCTGTTGGCAGGAGCGATATGTGTCGGTTGTGTTTTTGTTAAATGTAAATGAACCGGTCAATATATTTTATTTAAATATATTGTGTTTTAATTAGTATAACATTTATAATGTTTTAAAGCAAGTTTGTAGCAGAAGAAACAAATAAATAATAGTGTCTGAAGTTTTGATTCTTATATTATAAATTAAAATAATTAAAATTTGATTAAATTTCGTATTTGGAATCCATATTAACATATCGTATTATTTTTTTCTTGACATAATGATGATAAAAATATGATGTTGGACTCCCCTCCGGATATCCGATGGATATTGTGTTATCCGTCGTCACAATAAGAAGCTCGTGATAAATTTGTACCGGGAAATGCTCGTTGATTGATACTCTTAGCGGTTTATGAAAGCACACTCGTGGTGCCAAAAGGTGGTTGTTATTATCGCTGGATTGTTATATAATAGTATATACGTACGAAAAGTATATACACATATCTAATAGAATTACAATCCTATTTAATGTTCTAAAATACCGTAAGTTGCCGTACCATGTATGAAAAGATGGATGAATGTGGAAGAAGCAAAAGAGCAATTAGCGTTTCATTGTTTCTACCTACCCTAATGGGAGACAGGCGTGACAGATATGTATGTATGTATAGAAGATATTTTTTAAAGGATGAAAAGGGAATGGTAATCCTGTTTGCGCTTTCGATATTTATATATCGAAAGCGCATAATGGCAGAGCAGCAGTAAATGATAATATTTGAGAGTGGAAGATAATAAACTCCTAAATTGATTTTAATAAAGTTTCTATCGTAAGTATGAATCTCTAAGTATATTCTTTTAAATGAAAAAAGAATTTTCCAAATCGGTTTATAACTAACGGAGTTATGAGATAACAAACATAAAAAAATAGAACCGAATTGAAAACCTCTTTATTTTTTAAATAGATTGAAAATAATTATTTTACCTATGAAATATCCGGTCGTTAATGTAATACTGTGTATGTGTGTATGGTCAAGAAAGAACTCGCTTTATTTATTTATTCTTTATAGTA